ATGTGCGCTTGGTGCTGAGTTATGTGAGAGATAAAGATTACTTATGACGTGGGGTGATGAAAGCCGCAAGGAAGCTGTCTCGCTGATGTCGCCTTATCTTTGCACGGTAGCCAGCTGTTTGTGAAGGTTTGTTGTTGACAATAGACGTAAGCGTCTTGACCATGAATGAGTGCCTACTTAATTAAGCTTGGGAGGTAAGTCCCATTCTCGCCCTCTTATTATGCATCGTTCCGATGCCGGTATGCTTGCATAGCAGCGAAGCATCAGTTAAAATGGCTGATGTACTGCTGTTATTGATGATAAGTTGACTGAGCATTTGTCATGTCCTCCCTGGAATGCAGTGGACCTTGGCAAAAATAAGCAAGATGGTATATCGAACGACAGACCATACTGAGTCAATCACTAATTTGGGATGCAACAACGCTTAACCGGCACTCAGATTTCTTTCGAAATTTGCTCCAGCCAGACATGCAAACAACCAAGGAGACCTGACTCTCTTCGATTGCTAACGGAGAAAATTCGGTAATATTTCACCAAATTAACTTGTTCCTTGCTGCGCAACAAGTATAATTACAACGTATTTTCTATGAACCGTTCAAAAAGCGAACATTTGGATGGTAAATTATTCTTAAGCAACAGAACTGGAGATCCAATAGTGAAATGGAACAGATAACCCGAAACACATGGGGAAAGTGAACTTCCAGGCACCCAAACACGAAGCATTAATTAACATCTAAAAAGACGTTATAATGGCAGACCATTAAGGCCTTAAGAATTAGTGCAAAATAGAGCATTAACGATGACAATCGGAGATGTGTGCGAAGGGTGCTGGTTGACAGGATAAGCCACTCCAGACACCTAGAATGTTTTCCGGTTGGTTGCGTTGCTTCTAATGCTGCTGGTGATTGTGTTCACTAATAGATCCGTACCTTTGGGTTCATATATTTTATTCGAAATTTTCCCTTTGGAGAGATGCAATGTCTGTTTGCTAAACGTGTTATCTTTAATATAGTCTGGTTTGGAATGAAGTTATTGAAAAGATTAACCTTTTCTTTTGGTGGGCTTATTCATGACAAATTCAGCCATGTTTCCCATGCATTGTTCAAGCCTAACTACTATTACCTTTGTCTGAATAGCATACATGGAAAAAAGTTCCTTGAATCAGTTTCTGTAATTGGCCCTAACTTCCGGTTATTTTTATTTTCAGAAATGCATTAACCTACTACGTGTAATACGCTTTCTGTGTGTTTAAATGTTTAAGGTAGTTAGTTAACTTTATCGTACGTGATGGAAGTGGATAGGTGATCATGCCAGGTACGAGAAATAAGTTTCAATTTTGGCACTTTAAACGGTTAAATTACACAAACAGAAAATGGAATACGGATGACTTCCGACTAGAAGGATTAATGATAGCGTGATTGAAGTGCATACGACTGTGCTGAGCGCATATGCGTTTTTACACTGTGTCGAACAGGAACCTCAAGCACCGTCCCGTTTTCCGTAGCCACTAAGGCTGTAACTTAAGCAGTATATGGCGCTCTGAACGGTTTGACGTGGGAGATTCACTAAATAGGACTTCAGTGAATCGATGAAATGCGGTAGCTAATTATAAACGATCGCCTTTCCTACAACTGCAATTATCACTGAACACAAAGGTAACAGCGGGCACACGCAAATTGGAAACAAATGAATACTGGAGTCAGGCAATACGAACGATTTGAGATTAGCCTCGCTGTTTGACTCGCTCTGGCTGCGACGGATCACGTCTGCTTCCCGAAATTGAGTGTTCTTGAATAATGAATACTCAAGTCGCGTATTGTGCAGTGAAATGCAATCGGCTTTCCGCAGAGTTGTTAGGTGTCCACATCAATTATGGATCGATACGCTATTACTCTGCATTTGTCTGTAGCCCGCAATGTTTGCCGCTAGTCGCTTCGTTTCGAGATCAAGAAAGCCTCAGCAAATTTTCCAATTTACCTTTCAAACTTCCAAGATTAGTAGTGTACAGTACCGTAACATCATCGGTAATGAACTAGAGTGTTCAGTGAGTAATTGCGCCTGTTATGCTATTGATATACGTTAAGAAGAGCAGATTACCTAGCACGCTCCCTTGGATCACCTCGATAATAAAAGGCAGTGCTGATGACCGGGGAATACTTGTTAGTAATTGTGAGGTAGGGTCAGTAAGGAATGGGCTAAACCAGCCATACAAAGGATCCATGATTCTAACTAAGGGGTACCCATAGGGCGTCCCATCGAGTACTTTACATGCCCGTCTTCTGCAGACTTCTTTAAACAATTAATAAATTCCATCTGGTATTTTTGCACGATCACCTTTGTCTAATACCATGCTGCCTTAGATTAGTCAAGATGATTTGCCTGAGAAGTTGCCTGTTTGGTGACAACATGGATAGCTTCTTTATGAATAGCTAGTTTACGATGGGTACATAATAATCATTAAAACACACAGAACACATGGAAATGGGGAACATCCAATTTACATCTGCTTCGGCTATGGTCCCACTGATCGTATTGAACAAGTCTCATTACAATGTGAAACGTGGTCTGCACACATGATGCGTGTCGCAAGCCATTCAAACAACAAACTGCACGGAATATATTTTGTCGCTATGAATTAGCAGAAATGCTGACAATAATTAGCCTTAGGATGCGGGTTTCAGCTCATGTACACATATAGTCATGAAAGAAATAATAATTTGCATCAATCTTCACTTATCACACGGTAACGCTGAAGGCGATCACGAACGAATGGCACACATACCGTTTCTTCTAAAAACGAGTAGTCAGTGAATAATCCGCTTTGGTAGAGGAACGCAAGGCACTAGGACCACAGCGACTTTAAAATATGGTAGGTTGTTACACATCATTTAGGAGAAAACATGGTGATTTCGATCAAAAAAGCTTGTGCTAGTTTCAGTGAGATACGCTCCCTTAGATTGCTCTAATTCGACACCTGCTCCAGGAATCTGACTGCAATAATAACACCTGATCATAGTTGTAGTAGACAGACGATATTCAACAGAAACTGAAAAGTGGCCGTATAATGTCGTATGAATAGCAATACAACAGCGTCCATATAGAAATAGACGGTGCAACATGCTGTTAGCAACCTTAATATTACTGCTATTGCTCTTATTGTTACTGTTATTTATGGTTATTATTTTCGTTTCCACACTATTCGGTTGCCTAGCTGCGAATGTATTCGCCAACAGTCGCCATATCCCTGGTTCCATTTCCCGCTTAGGATCTCTTTAACTTAAAGATGCGATAGTTCATGATTATTAGGGCATTTTTGGAGTGACGAATAAAACTGAGCTACCCTTGATGTGTTCTCAACGATCCGAGTAATATTGGTTTAACTAAAAGCTAATCGCGGTCCAAGTCAAACCTTTCTAATAAATAACAGTTTTCAAAGGGTGCAAGTAAGAAACCCTGTACGTCATTTGTTTAAATGATGTATCGCCAAATCTGAACAATCTAATAACCACTACACTGGCATGAGAATTGGGCTGTGGAGCGATTGAACTTTATGACCATTAAGCGAATGGCAGTGGTATGTTTGGCGATATTCAAAATTTTATCTGATCATCGTGCTAGATATGTACTACATACTCCTCGAAATTAGCCAAATTTTTGGTGTCAATTGGGCAAAGTAAAATTACACATACAACGAACATCAGTTTATATTAGTGCAGCTTGAGTAACAAAGAGTACAAGCGGGATATGAGCAAGATATTGGACGGTTTAAGAAACGTTTTACTTGTGCGGTAGCAAAGTTATGGCCTGGAAACATGACTTAGTTGCTTGCAACTTTGAGGTGGATAAAGTAGTTCGACATCGTCAAATCAGAGCTCGGTCGTATCTTGGTCCAGTGTAAAGAGTTCCGGAGTACGGTATATCGGCGAAGTCGATGGATTAAAAGTCAGTTATTATTCCGGAGATCCCAGGGTCATGGTTGAGTCTCCTGGACTCAATATTCATTAATAGTGGATCATGACTAAAGCAATGACATTGTCAAACGTTTTGAAATATTGATTTACGCCGAGGAGCTTGCAGGGAAATTAAGTATTCAGACCCATACATGAAATACTGCTCTTTTGCCCACGCTTAACACAACACTTATCTGTTACTACTGGTTATTTTCAAACACATCCAGCAAACAGCAAGAAGAGAGCAGAGAGAATAAAAATAGCAGTTCTTATACATGCGTGACGACGTAGCTGCTTTTTTATTGTCCACTAGTGTGAGCTCAAGGAAAAGGAAAGTTTCCACGAGCAATCCGATGTTAATAGAGAGAAGCAAATTGCTGTCAGTAATAAACGGTCCTCAAATCTCTTTAAGCGAAATGCAATTACCAAAATCCTTGTTGACATAATCCGTGGTAGTGCAGTTTACTATGCCGCTGTCGCTCTAAATCATGGTAAGAGGAGCTGCAGTCGATAGACTCATTTTCACTGCACGATATCGTCCATTCCAATATTTACTTCTGAAGTTGGGTTAGTTCTTCGCCCATTGAGTTGGCTACCCTTTCACTTGTACGGTAGTAAAGTGCAACTCGGTGGATAGTGGGCGGCGCTATATCACATTTAATAACTTAGTCAAGTTGGTCGTTACCGACCACCCGTAGCTAGCTAATAATAAATGTATTGGCAACGCTCAAGTTGTGGATTCCTGCCTTGAAGTTGTCAAGTGGAATGCGCAAGGTTGAAGTTTACCGGGGAGAGGGAAAGAGAAGTCTGTTTGAGTGCTCCTAGATGTGATGAGATTTTAGATTTTCCAACCCAAGCTATGTTTATGCACCTAACTTCGCCTTATGCTGCGTAGAAGTGTAATCCAACAATCACTACATTGTAACGATACTAATAACCACTTGATAATGAGCTCAGTATAAATTCATTTGATTAGGTCATACCTCATTCTCAACACAATTTCTGCCCAACCTTAAATGTTTTTGAAATGTCACTTCTCCATCGTTTCAGGATAATCGTACTGTAGCAAATGGAGTGACCTCAAATGAAACCCCTGTTGGTCCGGTATCCACAGTACACCAGTATGGATTGAAATCTTTGCCAACATTCCCCACTTTGAAGATTCCACTGACTACATTTGTACCCGTTCCTTCCCTACCAAACCTCACAGACTGCGGCTACTCTCCGGCGCCCCTCTTCACCTCCAAGCCCCCAACCGTTTCATCATCACTGTTCACGGCTGCATTCACAGCAGCAATACATTCCGCTTTCCCAACAGACTTCACACATTTCCGTGCCAAATCTTGTCAACCTCTCGGACGGGTTTCTAACTTTTCCAGCCAAGAAAACTTTTCTTGGCCATTAATCCTAGCAGAACAGAATGATGAAAAGCCCTTGGATCTAACTTTGACCACCAGAAATGACGCAGATGTCAACCCACACAAAGAATCTACGTTACTCACATCCTCAAAAAGTACACGGAACATTGAATTATTGGTTGCTAGCCCATCTACCTCAGTATGGCGGAATCCTCGTTCAGCTCCGAATAACACGTCTCAAACACATACATTAGTGCATGAATTGATACATGTCCATGAACCACACATTCCATTATCTTCGGCACGACACACCATCCACCATTCAACATCCATCCACCCCACAGGACCGTCTTACAGGCAGCGACGAAATACCGTTGTAAAACAATCCTGTAAGGGTTTAGACCAATCTACAGGTCCATGTGAAACAGTGCTCACAAGAGTCACAAGGCTAACCAACAGACTAAGGCGTTCCGTTTCGACTGAGTCAACTGTCGAAAGAACAACCCCTGTCAGCGATGCAGAAGAATACCGTAGTATAAGTCCCCGAACATCTCCTTCCTCCGTACCAGTGAATGAGACAAGGCAGCGCAGATCTCAAAGTGCAAATGAAAGTAAACCCAGTGATGCCACCGACGATGGCGATTTAGATGACACTGCTTGTAATACACTGTCTACAGTAAAACAGATAGCTACCTCCCAACCACATCAGCAAACCCGCATACCTTCTACCACTTTCCGAAATGCGAATTGCAAGTTGGAGTACAGTGTATATAATCCGAGAATGCGTCGATTTCCAGAAATGACTCCCAAAGAGATAAAAGATGCTGCTTATTGGGAGAAGCGGGTGCGGAACAATGAAGCTGCACGACGATCACGAAGAGCACGGAAGACAAAAGAGGCCACTTTGCGAGAGTATGCAGAGAAGTTGGAAAAAGTGAATGCAAAACTTCTGGAAGAAATCAGCCTACTGAGACAGGAAGTACACAGACTGAAATCTGATAAAAACGAAAAAACCTGATGTGTTTCGAAAGTCTAGGCCTCTAACTATTCTCAGGATGTAAAACTGTGTTACTTGTTCATACTTTTTGTTACGGCTCACTATATGTCTCCAGCTAGTGTATATAGAAAGAGTATAGTTTGTACAGTTTTATAGAAGTAAAAACACGGCTTCATTTATTTTCCTTCTCAGGATTTCACTGAAATATATCCGTGCCTAGCCTGTTTGGCAATGAGCAACATATAAATTTGAAACTCACATTGCAGATGAACGTACCTGACGAACTAAGACATAGAACAATCTGGTGGAACGGATGACGTGACAGCACCTACAAAATCTGTTTCTTGGTACTCCCTTACACTTTGTTCATGACTACAGATTTCATCGTTACGTCAAGTTACAAACCACGACCTCAGCCTCTGTAAATAAAATGAAGTACCTTTTCACTTGTTACAACGGTGGATTGTTATCGCTGATGCCGTTGAACTGTGGAATGTGGGCTTTAAATTTCCCTCATTCCTTTGGAAATGAGTACTGACAATCAGAGGCGTACCATAGGGGGGCGGGGGATGTACAGTCCGCCCCAGGCGTCATGTGACAATGGGCGGCAATTTTAGTACGGATGACTGGTCGATACCAAGTGCAAATTCGGCCAACTTTCTCCCATGACTGAAGTAGTAAAAACGAAGGGTGATCACATTTTGTTGGTACATGAAATTGGTACTACAAACGTAGACATCTGGACAACAGATATTGATATTGACAGGACCAGGTAGTCCTTCTGCACAGCAGTAACGTGCAACTCATTGAGCAGTGAGTGGCGAAATACCACAGCTAATAACTCATTTACGATGGTGCTTACGGTCCCACATATCTCAGTGGTTGTATCCACAGATTGGCAACAGTGGAGCTGCGAGTTCCATCAGTAACAGGGTCAGAAGTGCACTGCTGACAATTCCCGAAAGGAAGAACGCGCGCACAGTGTTTTTCCGGGAGTGTGATGGCTGCGTGATTGAGTCTAGATATGACAAATCTCTACTTATATCATTGGACTACCCCTACTATTCCTCTGTAAGTTAATGAGTGGTGATATCTGGTACCAATGCAAAACTGAGGCTAAGAAGCTCACGGCGAACTGCTTTTTTCGTGATTTGCGAAACGGTGTACAAAGATTGCGAACATCGATGGTGTATTCTCAATCAGATGAGACCCTATTTGGTTTCGGTTGCAAGATGACTTCAATGTGATAGTCTAGTTTTCATACTGGTAGAAACTAAATCCAAAATCATGTGCATACCTATAGGTTAGTGGAGTGCTCAGTGATTCCGCAGCTGCAAGGAGCTAACCATTCGATTACTTGCAGGAAATGCTCTTTACAAACGGGAACAAGCAGTTGTAGCAAGTGGTGGTGTGAAATGTTACCTATAATGCTTGTTATTGGCAAGTTTCTCGCAAACCAAAGCATACCACTGCGTGGTTAACGACAGGACATTTGGGATGACAAAGGAAGCAAAAATTAGAGGGAATTTTTCAGTATTTGTATATTCTTTGGTAAAGGATATGCCTATTCTTCAAGGACATTTGGTAACAGTTCAGCTGGGAAGAAAAGTCAGGAAGTTTTCTTTGTTTCCCCACGTCCAAAATGAATTAGTGAGCATTTTAGTAAGTCTACTGAGAAAGATAATCATAGATCAATTAAAGGAAAGCAAGTAAGTCGGCTAAATTTTCGATAAAACTCCCGTTTTATCTCACAAAATTCAGAGGAATTAAACTGCAGTGACGGTAGCGGAATCTTTTCTCCGCTTCGATGAGGCAAATAACAAATAGGCAACAGAAATTTCTGGACTGGTTTTGAGAGAATTGTAAAGGGATGAAATTCAGATTGACCCTATCGAATGGGTGTCTAGACACGCATATGTGAAATCAGCCCAAATTCTACAATTGTGTCATGCACAAACCATTCCTATGTTCATGCAACTTCTGCGACGGTTCATGTTGCTGAATTTTCAATAAATGGATTGGCTATTTTCATTATTTTCAGCTCAATATTACTTGAGTACCTTGATTCAAGTCACCGGTATAATTATCAAGTGACTGTAAAATCTAGATGGAGTAGTTGAGCAGGTACTATAAATATTGTGGTGAAGAAATGCGCGGAGCTCGTCACTTCTGAAACATTTAACAGATTAAGAAGAAAATGAAGCCACGAGTCCAAATACAACTCTAATTCTGATGTCGGTATGGTCGTTTCGGTGTATTTTTTCTGAGCATTTAGGGTGATGTTCTCATAGAAATCAAGGAGGCACAGATAGGTCCAAACAAGTTATTTGGATCCGCAGCGAAGTTCTATCAAGCTTACCTAGTTAAGAGTTTGTCCTCCTCAGAATAGAGAGAAAATCGTGCAGATTGCAACGGGTAAATCCAAAAATACTACTCGAAATTGGAGGTCAGGATGAAGCGCCCAATTCGCCAAAAGAAATGTATGGACGGTTCAGAAATTTCGATATTATTGATGATGCTGTGTGTAAACAGAAGATGCTGTCTCTCTTTGACAATTTGACTGCTGACACGCTACAGATGTCAGCAAATTTATGACCTTGTGAATTTAAAATGCTTTTCTTGCACCGTCAAATGTGCCTGAATATAATTATGGTTGTCCACTTATTGAAGTCGAGGAAGATCTAGGAAAAGAGGAATTCCTTGCCTAAAGTAGATTGCAGTATTGTGTGAAAGCTTCAGAAAACGACAAAATTAATGGTTCTTTTGAGCTTTTGAGCGTCCTACGGAAATATCACCTTGGGAAATCAGCTGCGCATATTACTTACCCGAACTATTAACATTGCCAGCTGTGAGAGCGCCTTCTCAGAACGCAGGCTTAGAATGGACTACCTTTAATCATCATTGAACCAGGCAATGCTCACGGATTGGCATTTCTCAACATAGAGAGCATGCTTGACAATGGATACTATTAGCAATACTACTATCTCACTCATTTACCTATACTTTTAATTATTTAAGATTTGGTTGTGCTGTGTGCCCCGCGGTTATGGACGTAGCCACCAGATTGGGAGGTCTAGGCCACGACTGCACAGGCTTAGGCAGTTCGTAGTCAAGGTCATTCGGACATGTAACTGTGAAAGTACAGACAACTATAGCCAATTGGCAACCCAACTTCCCACAATATGTTATTGGATGGGCACATACACGACTAGCGAAGCCAAGGAGACTTGCTGGATTGCGCCAGTGCGATACAATTTGGTATGGGACCATCCGTTCTTCGGAAAATCTAGACCAAGAAAGTGGCTAACTCCCAACCGGCCGTTCGCGCACACGTGCTGCGCTTTTTATCGAAGCCTACTTCAGTGCTCTAGGTACTGAAGTTTTGGTTCATCACAGAATCCGACGTGACCACAATCCTTGTAATGTGACGCAAGCCTCCCTGAATCATTCGGTAACAGCGTTTACACGTGACACCGAAAGTGCACGTTTATTTGCGCCACTAATACTACTACTGCAATTATAATACCATAGTTCAGGGCAGGGTCTACATGTCTTGATCGTGAAAAGACCTTCACTGAGACCTGGAAGTAGGAACCGATTGACAAATGTTGCATAATGCATGCTACTCATAAGTACTCAACATTTTACAAGAATCTGCACGACTTTTGTGTTAGTAAGTGAAATGTGGCGCAACCAATATTCAGCCCTGTACCAGATAGATGCCAGGCTCAGAAGGCATAAAGAATAAACGCAGATAATATAATGGAAATATTCTGAGACGGGCAGAAGGGACCATCGCTCGATTATTACTGTTCCACTGGTTTGTTGAAGAATAGTTCGCTACAGTAGGCAGTGAATATACTGTTATAGGAGTGGACCTAAGTTACATCAATCGGCATTCCCTCAAAACACACAATAACGGGAAGTAACCAAGTTACGCATCAATCAAGGTGCAGTGGACCAATGGTGTACACATCCGCCTACCACCCATAACGCTTTTGTCAAAAGAAATAA